CCCCTTCTGCCTCCCTGAACGCCTGCATGAAATCTAGTACCGCGTGGAACGCGCACTTAGAGTTCACCCAGTCGACTGTGGCGATCCCTTGTAGCGTCGCGTCCCCCGTCACCCAGATCACCCGGCACTGCTCACATGGGAGGGCCAGCCTCTCGTTGATCGAGAGTGCGCCCGACGTCGCGCCGAGGAAGCGCGACTTCCAGTTCGAGCGGTCCGCCGCCAGGACGCGAGCAACCTCGGTGGCTTGCCAGAAGTCCGACCACACCAGGGCTCCCTGGGCGCCAGCGTATCGAGGCCCAGCAAGCCTGCGGGGACGGCCCTTCATCAGGGCGTCCGTGGCTCCAACCAGGCACCGCATGGCCCGCATGACCAGGCGCCAGTACTGCTGGCTCCCCCAGTAGACCTCCAGGAAGTTCCAAGGGATGTTCTGCTGGCCTTAATCCAGGGCCGGGTCCGCCAGGAGGTAAGCCACCTTCGATCTTCGGCTCGGGCATCTCAATCGCCCCCTCCTCGGTCCGACACAGGAGGCCCCAGCATACCTTCGCAGTCTCCCAGCCGGCCGTCGTGGACCAGATGGGCCGCAAACACCCCCGCAACCAGTGGACCTGGCTGGCCTGCCTGCTGTCCACGCAGCCGCCGCAGCCCAGGTCGACGTCTCTGTCGTCCAAAAGGAAGTGCGGGCCTTCCCCAAGGGCTCGGCCGCCGGCCCCACTGGCCTGCGCCCGCAACACCTGCAGGACGCCCTGGCGACGGCAGCCCACAGGGACGAGGTCGTCGAGCAGCTCGCTGGTCTCGTCAACGTGCTCGCGCGCGGCCAGTCTCCGGCGGCGGTCGCGGCTTACTTTGCTGGCGCCTCGCTGGTGGCTCTCCCGAAGAACGACGGCGGCCTCCGCCCGGTGGCCGTCGGCGAGACACTTCGCCGCCTGGTGGGCAAGTGCCTCTGCAAGGAGGTCGCCGAGGCTGCCCGCGACCGCCTGGCGCCCCTGCAGGTAGGCGTGGCCGTCCCGGGAGACGCCGAGGCGGCGATCCACGTGGCCAGGCAGTGGTTCACGCGCAACCTGGGCGACAGGGACAACGTTTTTGTGAAGTTGGATCTCTCGAGCGCTTTCAACACCCTGGACCGGAGGGCCGTCCTCAGGGCAGTGCACGAGGATTTTCCCGCGCTGGCACCTTGGGCGGACTGGTGCTACGGCAGCCCCTCGCTACTCTTCCTCGGCAAGCAGACGCTGCGCTCCGAGTGCGGCGTCCAGCAGGGCGACCCGCTTGGCCCGCTGCTCTTCTCCCTGGCAGTCCAACGCTGCGCGGAGACGGCGAGCCGCAGCCTCAGGAAGCTTGCCCAGGACGCTGGCCTGGACCTTGTCTTTTTTTACCTGGACGACGGCTGCGTGGCGGGTGACAGACAGGCCGTGGCGCGCTTCCTGCACCTCGTCGTGGCCGGGCTCGCAGCAGTCGGCCTCGACCTCAGCACGGGGATGGGCGAGCGCGAGGTGGTCCCTGCAGCGGGGGCGGACAGCAACGCGTCCGCGGCGGATTTCCCACCAGGCTCCCGACTGCGCTCCGACGGCTGCTTTGAGCTCTTCGGCGCGCCCGTCGGGAGCGACGCTTTCAACCTCCAGCACACGCAGAAACGAGTGAAGAAGGCAGCGGAGCTCCTGGGCGCACTGGCCGGCTTGGAGGACGCGCAGGTCGCCCTTCACTTTCTCCGGCAGTGTGCCTCCTACTGCAAGGTCGGCTACTCGGCGCGCGTGGTGCCGCTCTCCGCCCACACCGAGGCCCTCCTGGAGATGGGCGCTGCAGTGCGCCCCTGCCTGGAACAGCTGGCCGGCGCTTCCCTCGCCGACGACTCTTGGCCCAAGCGCAGTTGAAACTGAACAAGGGCGGCTTGGGGCTGCGCTCCGCTGAGAAGCACTCGCCGGCGGCCTACCTGTCCTCGCGCGCCAACAGCAGCGAGTTCTGCCGGTCCATGTACGCGGGCTACACAGACGACGACGCGGGCGACGCCGGGGCCTTGACGGCTGCGCCCCAGACCCACAACGCATGCGTGGCGGGTGCAAGCGGGGCCGCGCGCTTCGACTGCGAGACGCACTCCGACCAGAAGACTCTCTCGGACCAGGTCGACGACTCCGCGCGCGCCGCCCTCTGGGGCCGCTCCTCGGCCGCGACGCGCGCCCGCCTCGCCCTGGTGGCCGCGCCCGGCGCCAGCGCGCACCAGCAGGCGCCCCCCAGAGAGGCGCTGGGCACAGCGGTCCCGCACAGCCTGATGCAGATCGGGATCGAGCGACGGCTCCGGGCCCAGCTGATGGACGAGGAAGCATTCTGCCCAGCGTGCGGGGGAGTCATGGACGCGCACTGCGACCACGCCTTGACGCGCGCCTGCCAGGGCGACCGCGCGCGCCGCCACAACGAGCTGCGGAAAGGCACCTTCTTCGCCGCCCAGGCCGCCGGCTTCTCGGGGGCGAGTTGGAGCGGCCCGGACTGCTGCCGCCGCGGGCCACGGGCGAGGGGCCGAACGCCGAGGAGCCCGACGGCGACGGACTAGACAACGACGGCCGCCGGCCAGCGGATGTCTATGTCCCCAAATGGCGCGGCGGGCTCTCGGCGGCCTTGGACTTCGCGGTGACGTCCGGCCTGCGCGGGAACCTCATCGCGCACTCCGCCGCCGACCCGGCCGCCGCCCTCGACGGGCACGAGGAGTGCAAGCGGCAGCGCCAGGGCGCGGCGCAGGCTTGCCGCGACGCGGACCTCGCCCTCACCCCAATGGTGATGGAGGCGCACGGCGGGGGCTGGGGCGGCGATGCTCGACGCGCCTTCGCCGCGCCGGCTAAGCGCGCGGCCGACGCGCACGGCGAGGAGGCCGCCAGCGCGGCGGACGGGATGGCCCAGCGACTCTCCATCTCCCTGCACAGGGAGAACGTGCGGGCCATTCTGCAGCGCCTGCAGCGCCCGCGGCCCGGGGCGACCCCGGCCCGCCTGGCGGCGGAGGCGGCGGCGGCGGCGGCGGCGGCGGCCGTCGCGCGAGGCGCAAGGGCAGGCGGCGGGCGCCGAAGGCGACGAGGCGAGGGAGGGCGACCAGGGCGAGGAGGAGGGGGGAAACGGGGGGAGGAGCAGCAGGAGAACAACGACGACGCCATGCTGAGGCAGCAGAGAGGCGCTGAGGAAGCCCCGCAGAGGGCGGCGACCAGGGGGAGGAGGAGGAGGAAGAGGAGGAGGAGGAGGAGGAGAAGGGGGAGGAGGAGGAGGAGGAG